AGCAGAAAAAGTTTTACACGCTTGTAAAATTGTTTGTGTTTGGTTGATTTTTGTGGGTCATTTGGAATAGCAGAAGAAAGTATTGGGACAGGCAACCTTTAAAAAACACGAGCCATAAATAATCTCCATCCTATGATAAATTGAAAAATGACCTACCTTATAATCTGATAGTGATAATTCTTATTTTCTGGATTTCAAAAAGCAACATTAGACTATGTAGTGTATCATAGTATGTATACAAACCATCAGAAATGTACTGTAGCATAGTATTTACATGTACTTCATGTAACAAACCTATGTACATGTATTACTGTAATAGTTATTACTAAACTGTTTCAATATCCATCCATCAGCAGCATAGTTGTAAAAGAGCTAACTTTTATCTTCTGACTATACTGTAAACATGATGTTGTAATCAGTTAAGTTCTAAAAGATTTAAGAAACAGTTTGATCATGCTGTACTGGTATATTCATCCAAATAATTACTTTTAAACACCAGAAAACGATTGATCTGCTATCTGTAGATATGTATGCAGATGACAGTACCCTGCATGTAAAGGGAAATAACTCTAATGATATTGCCACAAATCTTCAGGAGAACCTGAATCATGTATTGAGATGGTGTACAAATAACAACATGAAACTTAACCAGCAAAAGACTACTAGTATGATCATAGCAAATAAGCATGAACTCTCCATTCAAAGTCCATTAAAACTGTATGTCAATGGAGAAGAAATTATGTCGTCGTCCTGTCAAAAGGTATTGGGCATATATATCGAAGAAAATCTTAGTTGGACAACCCAGGTAAAAAATGTTTCTTCCAAATTGGCAATTGCTGTTGCATTACTTAGAAAAATGAGTGGATATCTGACTACAGAAGCCAGGAAAGTTTATTATAACTCGTATATTCTCCCAATACTCGACTATGCAGCTATTGTGTGGGGAAATGGGTTATCAAAAGAGCAAACCACTCAAATTATAAAAATTCAAAAACAAGCTCTACGTATTATTTTAAATCTCCCTATGTTAACACCAAGTAAAAGCCTTTTTGAGGAAAATAATACTCTGCCATTCACATTCAGAGTAAAATACCACACATGTATATGTTAGTCTACAAATCTTTAAATGATATGGCACCTGATTACATTAAAGCTGGTCTAAATAGGTGTACTGACACATATAGATATGGATTAAGATCTACATCTCAACAAAATCTAATATTGCCAAGACCAAATTCTGAATTATTCAAAAAGTCATTTACTTACACTGGACAGAGAATAATTTACCGGTCAAATTATTAAAAATACGACCACAGTTTGTTCTTTCAAGAAACACCTTAGGCAGCATCTGCTATCTCTTTATTTAAATGAGTAATGTTATTCACACAGGTAACTGTCAAACTTTACAAAGTTTCTGTGAACGTATTGTTACCTTTGTACATATACATATACTCAATTATATTAAAACTGTATTCTTCAGGGAAAGAATGCTGTGTGTACGAATGAGCAAAGAGTTTATGTGTCAAATAGTTTGTTTACTGTTTTTATCTGTATAATAATTTGATATTATTCACGATACGTTCGTTCAGAAATAGACAATAGTGTATGTATCATTTATCTAGTCAGCAGGTTAGTCTGATTACCAAATATTCATAAACAATAGTAGCGTTCAGTAATCTTACAAGTTTATTTGTTGTCCATGATTTTGTAGTTTAACATAATAATCTGTTTTAATGTCAGTTAACATGCTTGTTTGATGTTTGAGAGGGCCATATGGAAGATTAGTCTTGTACTAAATATGTAACCCTCCTTAAATAAAGATATTATTATTATTATTCATCCATTTCCATCTTCTGTGACTGTAATGCAGCTTTCTTCTCTTCGGTACAAACGAGTTCCGATCAGGGGAAGTAACTCATTGTTCCAAACCCAGAAATTAGCTATTTTCTATGCACATTTTTTTAAGTATACATCATTTGCCAGCCAACTTTCTTTCTGTTTCCTTCAGAATAACTGTTAAAGATTTGCCGGTATAACTTATTTTGTACAGTTAAGGTTGTAGATAGAAGTGAGAGGCCATTTAAGTATTGATGTTTTGGGGGGATTTATGCCTGTTTTTGGGACCTTTTTTCTTCTTCCCGAATGGACTTGGTGTTATATAAGAAATATTTTCTTGCTGAAAACAGAAATAATTAGAAGAGGTGTTTGCTGAAAGCATTAAAAGGATAAATATCAAATAAAAAATTTTTTTTTGCTACTTTCCACATTTTAAAGAAAATGCTAAATGACTGATGACATGCACTTTTCAAAAGGAGGCGAATACGTTAAAATATTTTACAACGTTAATTTTGCTTAGGGTACATTCGCGTATCCGGTTGAAACGGTTGAACCGGTTGAACCTGTAACGAAAACGACAGGCACAGATCTGGACCGAGGCTGACCTCAAGAAAATTCGGCACGTGAAGATTGAGGGGTCCAGACGTACCTGGCCGAAGCTAAAATGCTGACTATTGCGTTATTTCTTTCTTAAACAATGTCAAGTCACATGTAGTTTTTAAGATACATTATGTAATTAAGTGGACGGACGAAAGAAGGACATATCATTCTTGGTACATTGTTTTTTATTCTCCGAAACTGTGCATTTTTAGCTCTGCTTATAGAACGGTCCAAGTGCGTTCGTTCGTACCGTTTCGACCGGGATACGCGAATGTAGCCTTATATTATTAGTGTAATATTTAGTTCCATTAAGTTCTTTAATCACATGATGTCAGCAATTTTATTATCCTGCAGAAAAGTCTGGAATACTATGTCAAAGATTGTCTCAACAGTGACGAAAACAAGTTAGGTATTGGGACTTACATTTGTATTTATGAAGAGGAAGAGGAAGAGGGCCAAACTATCTATAATACTCATCTATAAGTATAAGTAAATCTTCTCATATTCATTCGCTATATCATTCTTTTATCCTGAAATTCAACATTCTGTAAACAATACAACCGAGTGATAAAGCGTTGGAGTATAATTATATGCCTGATGGGAAGATATACAGTATAACATGTCTAGACCGGCACATGTCTAATCCGGATACCTGTCTAAACAGGCTGTGATTTGCCGTCCCGGTATATTCCCTATATAATCATAGTAGTTTAACCTTGTATAAACCGGACCCTGTCCATTCCGAAAACAGGCGTTGTTTCACAAAAGTTGGCATAGTAATCTATGTAAAAACAACCTGTTCATTCGGGTCCTGAAATTTCTCTCGGCCGGCTACAATCTTAATCAAACACATCCTAAACAAATAAGCGCTATCCAATGTTAGCTATAGGTCGCCCTACATTTGTATCATAAACTTTTATATTTTGTTAATAATTAAACGTTCCAATTGATTCATATCTCTGTTGTTTATGCTGACACACTTGTGTACAGATCGTATGCAAAACACTACATGTTTGTATTTTCAAATATTGACATGCCGATCCTGTATAAACCGGACACCTGTGTAAACCGGACACACAGTTTGGTCCCGGTGACATCCGATTTAGACAGGTTATGCTGTATATAAAATCTGACAGAGACGTATGATGATAATTATAAATGTCATATTTAACTCACACATCCACACACCATTCATCTACATGCACATTAACGAGCAGTACAACACTGATACATTACACTTGACGTATAACATTTATATGCTTAGCATATTTAAATGTATGAAATCTTAAAATAAAACTCATCAGACACAGCATTGTAGACAGATTGAAATCTATTTGGTAACATAAATAATTATTTTCTTTCTAAGAAAAGCCGGGAAAATAAGTCTAAATACATACATATGTATATCAATATTTATCAAAAATTGCTTTGCCAGAATGAAGTCTTATAAGTCATTATAAGGATAAATAAGAGAGAAGAAATGTTGTGTATTTCCAAGAATAGATCAACAGGAACAGAAGGAGTTAGGAATGACTTGTCCAATAAATCTACAAAGTTATCAGGCTACGGTGACACAGTATCACATGATGGTTTTTTTTTAAGTTAAAATACAAGATACATTAGATTTTACATTGTATTTCCTTCTGACATTTTTTTTAATAAAACCACATACATAATCATTTATCTTGAATTAACGAGGAAAATGCTTAACAAAGGACAGAGAGCCTGTGATCGTCGTTCTCTCAACGAATGAGCTTACTTTATATGATACAGCAGAACGAATATGGAGAATTAAATTTGGCATAATTGCAACAGATAGTACGTCTATTACAAAACGTTAATCGAGACTTCAATTCGCCTTACTGTTCCTTTTAAGCGGTTGCTTTTCTGAAGCTGACATGTTAATCAAACGGTATCGACGGATGACCCCGAGATGTATTCAGGATTCCGAATTCTGAATTGTTATAGAACAGAAAATGATTTAAGATCTGAGGTCCTATTTCGCTGTTTAGAACGATTTTAGCGTTAAAGTTCATGATGACCGTAAGTAGCAACGATGTCACAAGTCAAATAGATTACAAGATACAAGAAGCTTTATTTAGTGTCGTATATGGCCTAACATTTGGAGTATTAGCTCTGTGGAGCTATTTTTACGATAAACATAAGTATAAAAACAGAGTAATTACAAGGTAAAAAGCATGCTAGTAGAAAAGGTAGGATTATGCAGCAAAACTATACACACTGAACTACTAAAATAATCAGAAAACAGTTTGATGATAGCACATGCATGTTAAAAAGCAAGAACAGTACTAATTATAACATAAGCATAAATCATAAGCATAAAACGTATAAAAACATCAGTATCAGATTTAGCAAGCACATATTTCATTAGACTAAATCAAGACATAAATATCTTTCTAAGAGTTCAGTCCGACAAGAAAACTTTTAAATATTTTGCCATTGTTTTGCTTACGACGAGGCATTGTTTTCCACGTGACAAACAAATTACGTCACACGTTACTCATGACGTCATAATATTAGATGTGCCATTTCTTTGCATCGCAACGCCTAGCGGTATTTCCGGTGCGTATCCTCGCCAGTCCATCTTTTAAATAAGAAGGCATTTTGTTATTACTGAAGATTAACAACAATGTCATTACCAGCTGTCGGACTGCCACGGGGCCGCACCGGACGACAGTCGCCAGATGACCCCCCCAAAACTTGCTTGAAGGCAGGAAACCGCGAAAAATTACCGAAAGCTGATGGAAGCAAACCTGTAGGCCTACGCCGCCACAAGTTGACACCACTCTGTACTCCCGTAAACAGACCCGTGGCTGACAAAGCTGCAGTAAATTGTACACCCAAACTATCTGGAGTCAAATTTTTTCATCAAAAGCCTTCCGGCATTTGTGAAAAGACAGGTTTAAGTCGACCGACACTTCAAAATGTCGGCGCTTTGCCCATCGGAGCACAATTACCGAAACGGTCGAAAGTCACAAACGAGCCCTTATTAGGACGATCAAAATTGGACAGCAGACAGACACCCGACACTGAAGGTGACAAATACGAACATTCTGTGTCAACATGGATGAGTCGCAAAGAATTGGAACTAATGCATTATCAGCAGGCGTTGCTTGAACAAATGGTGGGCCCCACTGATCCAGAAGACTGCAGTGATCTGAAATCCATGACGGGGAAGAAGCCAGTTAAGAGAAATAACAAGAAAGGAAAGGATAAAAAGAGAGCTATTGAATCACCAATAGGTCCACAATTATCCGAACGAGGACATAAGTATGAAGACCTCCCTTTACTCCGGCAGACTCGATTGAGAGTTTCCATAGATCCCGATGTAGCTGTTCCCGATGAAGCGCAATATGTTCCCACCCCACCGGGATATGAGAAAATTCCATGTCGACCAATGTCGAGCAAGGGCGCGGCTACTTCACCTGGTAACTAGTTCAACGCTGTTGTTATTGGTAGTCCGAAATATCAGACTACCACACATACTTTGGACTATGTGACTGATAGGTCAACTTTATGATTATTAGCACATGCTGTTTTGTAAACCCCGTTATTTGGGTTGGCATTGAATAGCTGTACTTTAGTTCTAGTTCTACCATATAGTGACCACCTTCAACTAATTGAAGATTTTGTCACGAAATTGAATTTATGCAGCACAAATGACAGACTATATATATTACATAATAATTAACAATTATCCACTTATTTAAAATTTAATTCGAGGAGAGTCCGAGAGAGAGGTCCGAGCAAGCCAAAGATTGGGAAACCCCACCTACAAAGCTTGTTCGGAAAAGGGGGAAAAGAAGTAAATTGTTATGTAAAGTCTGTTGAAGTAACTAATTACTCCGCATCTTCAATTTTATAGATGTGCCTGGAAAGAGATGTATTGAAAGAGTTGAAAGTGGGTGCATTAACGATGTCAGATGGTAATTTGTTCCAGTCTAGTATGGTACTAGGAAAAATGATTGTTGTCTAGTTAGTGTTTTCGAGTTATTGGTATTGGACCCGGTGGGAATTTCTAGGAATTCTGGCTCGGTGCATCCTGTCAGTCATGGATATGGCCACCGTGCCCTGATAAAGTTCATAAAACATCTTTAAGCGTGCAGTAGCGTATCCAAAATGATGGAGGAACTTAAATGGCATCCGCTATCCGAACGCAGACGAGACCAGCGTTAAGTGTTACTTTACAAAATAGTTCACGTCCTAGTGGCCGGCCATACCCGCTGACTCGCTATTCCAGTTTAATACCAGACCATCTAGAACACAGCACAGTAACACCGACATATATAAAAACTCATTTGTACCAGTTACCATAAAAGACTGAAAAGCACTACCATCGCACTAACAACTGTAAAACTACGAAACAGTTTAAGGCCACTATTGCGACCAAAAGTGACTAAGATTGATATAGCGCACTCTCTCTTTGCTCAGTAGTGAGCTAATTTCCAGTACACATACAGATACAGCATCTTTCCTACGATCTGACAGGCTGTGCCAGCCAAGAGTACCAATCATATATGTTACACTAGAGGTACTCCGAAAGCGATTTGACACATATCGGGCTCCTCTCCTCTGGACCATTTCTATTTTGTTGATGATATTTTTTGTGTACGGATCTCAAACAGATCAAGCATTTTCTAAAGAGGGTCTAACCAAAAATTTGTAAGCCTGTTCTTTAAAAGTTGTTGAGCTAATTGTTAGGTTCAATCTGATCTACATGAGAGTCCCATTTCAAATCTGATCTTAGGGTTACTCCTAGGTATTTCACAGAATCAGCATGTTTTGATATTTGACCATGAAGAAAATGATAAACAATGACAGGTTTTTTCCCCTTAGAAATTGTGAGAGCATAACACTTATTAGGGTGGAAAGCCATTAGCCATTTTTTCTCCCAAATGGCTAGTTTGTCCAGGTCAGACTGTTGGGTCCTGGCATCTTTCTCTGACGTAATTTTCAAATATATGATGGTATATCATCCGCAAACAATCTGACCGTGGAGTTCAAGCTAATTGGCATGTCCTTAATATAAAATAGGAACAGACTAGGCCCCAGTACAGATCCCTGGGGGAGGCAAACAGTCTGACCGTGGAGTTCAAGCTAATTGGCATATATGTCCTTAATATAGAATAGGAACAGACTAGGCCCCAGTACAGATCCCTTGGGGGACGCAAACAGTCTGACCGTGGAGTTCAAGCTAATTGGCATGCCATTAATATAAAATAGGAACAGACTAGGCCCCAGTACAGATCCCTTGGGGACGCCGGATAAAACTGGTACGTACTCAGATTTGACGCCTTCAACATGTACTGATTGGGTTCTATCATTTAAGAAGTTTGAGATCCAGGAAGTATTTTTATCATCTATACCATAATGTTGAGTTTGCCATCAACTAAATTTTAATGTACAAAGTATCTGGTTAGCTGAGTACGAAATGAAGTAAATATCATTCAATTATACATCAAAACGATCTGCGTAGCTACAGAAATATGGAGTTAATATCAAGAAAACGTGTGTGTTATATAATCTAGATTTGATTTGAAGATGTGTACACTTACACGTATCTATCTATTTTACATATGTAATACGAGTAAGAAAAATGCAACGGTCAGACCGGGATTCTTTCTCAAATATATAAATAAGTCAGAAAAATGCATCAATTGATGTTATCTCAGTATCTTATGTGTCTGATATGGCAATCTCCAATGGTTCGAATCCAGTTTGTTGCATTTTCCTCACTTGCTTATATGGATATAAATATAATGAACAAATTACGTTAGGAATAACATACTTGTTAATAAAACATTTGTTTCTTTTCAGCACCAAGACACGTGCGATTTAATTCTGAGGAGAGAGGGGTACACTAACAGGGCTATCTAACAAAGATGTCGGGAAGTCGTGGAGATGGCGTCAGGAAGAACTTATGATTAAACCATGGGCACACAGGAAAGTGAAGTCAGAACATAATGGAGAAGTCTGTCTGACAGGATCCACGTTAGCTCTGAACATACATAGGACTTGCTGAACTAACAATACTGATATTCCCCGTGCTGATACATTTGGAATTCTAACGTTTGGCAATGGATTTACGGAGGCCAGAAAAGTTCACTGCCGTGTGTGATATGGTGGTCAGTGGATTTGCCCAAGCCAGAACAGTCCACTATCGTGTGATATGGTGGTCAGTGGATTTGCGGAGGCCAATAAAGTTCACTGCCGTGTGATATGGTGGTCAGTGGATTTGCGGAGGCCAGAAAGGTTCACTGCCGTGTGAAATGGTGGTCAGTGGATTTACGGAGGCCAATAAAGTTCACTGCCGTGTGATATGGTTGTCAGTGGATTTACCAAGGCCAGAACAAGTCACTGCCGTTTGATATGGTGGTCAGTGGATTTGCCAAGGCCAGAACGATTCACTGCCATTTGATATGGTGGTCAGTGGATTTGCCAAGGCCAGAACAGTTCACTGCCGTGTGATATGGTTGTCAGTGGATTTACCAAGGCCAGAACAAGTCCCTGCCGTTTGATATGGTGGTCAGTGGATTTGCCAAGGCCAGAACGATTCACTGCCGTGTGATATGGTGGTCAATGGATTGGCGGAGCCCAGAAAATTTCACTGCCTTGTGATATGATGGTCCATTGATTTGTGGGGGCCAATACAGTTCACTGCCGTTTGATATGATGGTCCATTGATTTGTGGGGGCCAATACAGTTCACTGCCGTTTGATATGGTGGTCACTCGATTTGTGGAGGCTAGAACTATTCACTGCAGTGTGATATGATAACCAATTGATTTGTGGAGGCCAGAACTGTTCACTGCAGTGTGATATGGTGGTCAATGGATTCGTCGAGTCCAGAACAGCCACTGCTGTGTGATATTGTGGTCAGTGAATTGTTCTAGTCCAGAACAGCCACTGCTGTGTGATATTGAGGTCAGTGAATTGTTCGAGGCCAGAACAGCGACTGCTGTGTGATATTGTGGTCAGTGAATTGTTCGAGGCCTGAACAGCCACTGCTGTGTGATATTGTGGTGAGTGAATTGTTCGAGGCCAGAACAGCCACTGCTGTGGGATATTGTGGTCAGTGAATTGTTCGAGGCCTGAACAGCCACTGCTGTGTGATATTGTGGACAGTGAATTGTTCGAGGCCAGAACAGCGACGGCTGTGTGATATTGTGGTCAGTGAATTTTTCGAGGCCAGAACAGCCACTGCTGTGTGGTATTGTGGTCAGTGAATTGTTCGAGGCCTGAACAGCCACTGCTGTGTGATATTGTGGTGAGTGAATTGTTCGGGGCCAGAACAGCCACTGCTGTGTGATATTGAGGTCAGTGAATTGTTCGAGGCCAGAAAAGTTCACTACCGTGTGATATGATGGTCAGTGGATTGTTCGAGTCCAGAACAGTTCACTGCCGTGTGATATGGGGGTCAGTGAATTGTTCGAGGCCAGAACTATTCACTACTGTGTGACAGGATGACCAATGGATTTGTGGAGGCCAGAACAGTTCAATGCCGTGTGATATGGTGGTCAGTGAATTGTTCAAGGCCAGAACAGTTCACTGCCGCGTGATATGGAGGTCAGTGAATTGTTCGAGGCCAGAACAGTTCGCTGCCGCGTGATATGGTGGTCAGTGAATTGGTCGAGGCCAGAACAGTTCACTGCCGTGGGATATGGTGGTCAGTGAATTGTTCGAGTCCAGAGCAGCCACTGCTGTGTGATATTGTGGTTAGTGAATTGTTCTAGGCCAGAACAGCCACTGCTGTGTGATATGGTGGTCAGTGGAATGTTCGAGGCCAGAACAGTTCACTGCCGCGTGATATGGAGGTCAGTGAATTGTTCGAGGCCAGAACTATTCACTACTGTGTGACAATATGGTGGTCAGTGGATTTGCCAAGGCCAGAACAGTTCACTGCCGTGTGATGTGGTGGTCAGTGGATTGTTCGAGGCCAGAAATGTTCACTGCCGTGTGATATGGTGGTCAGGGAATTGTTCGAGGCCAGAACAGCCACTGCTGTGGGATATTGTGGTCAGTGAATTGTTCGAGTCCAGAACAGCCACTGCTGTGTGATAGGGTGGTCAGTGAATTGTTCGAGTCCAGAGCAGCCACTGCTGTGTGATATTGTGGTTAGTGAATTGTTCTAGGCCAGAACAGCCACTGCTGTGTGATATTGTGGTTAGTGAATTGTTCTAGTCCAGAACAGACACTGCTGTGTGATATGGTGGTCAGTGAATTGTTCGAGGCCAGAACTATTCACTACTGTGTGACATGATGACCAATGGATTTGTGGAGGCCAGAACAGTTCACTGCCGTGTGATATGGTGGTCAGTGAATTGTTCGAGGCCAGAAAAGTTCACTACCGTGTGATATGATGGTCAGTGGATTGTTCGAGGCCAGAACAGTTCACTGCCGTGTGATATGGTGGTCAGTGGATTGTTCGGAGTTCAATATTGCTGTGTCTGAAACAGCATAGATCTTCAACAGACACAGAATTGTAGGAACGAACATCAGTCAATAATTATGGTAACACTGACGTCACCAGTATTTCAACGACGACCAATTATAAACCATTTGCTACACACGTACATTTCGCTTGAATGCTACCAGGTGCTCCTCCGATAGCAACAGTTTATGTTTGGTCTGTATCCATAGTCAATGTATAACCGAGAACAACAGTTTATGTTTGGTCTGTATCCATAGTCAATGTACAAGCGAGAACAACAGTTTAGGTTTGGTCTGTATCCATAGTCAACGTACAAGCGAGAAGAACAGTTTATGTTTGGTCTGTATCCATAGTCAATGTACAAGCGAGAACAACAGTTTATGTTTGGTCTGTATACATAGTCAATGTATAACCGAGAACAACAGTTTATGTTTGGTCTGTATCCATAGTAAACGTACAAGCGAGACCAACAGTTTATGTTTGGTCTGTATCCATAGTCATCGTACAAGCGAGAACAACAGTTTATGTTTGGTCTGTATCCATAGTCAATGTATCACCGAGAACCACAGTTTATGTTTGGTCTGTATCCATAGTCAATGTACAAGCGAGAACAACAGTTTATGTTTGGTCTGTATTCATAGTCAACGTACAAGCGAGAACAACAGTTTATGTTTTGTCTGTATCCATAGTCAACGTACAAGCGAGAACAACAGTTGATGTTTGGTCTGTATCCATAGTCAACGTACAAGCGAGAAGAACAGGTTATGTTTGGTCTGTATCCATAGTCAACGTACAAGCGAGAAGAACAGTTTATGTTTGGTCTGTATCCATAGTCAATGTACAAGCGAGAACAACAGTTTATGTTTGGTCTGTATCCATAGTCAATGTACAAGCGAGAACAACAGTTTAGGTTTGGTCTGTATCCATAGTCAACGTACAAGCGAGAAGAACAGGTTATGTTTGGTCTGTATCCATAGTCAACGTACAAGCGAGAACAACAATTTCCATGTGTTGGGTTTACATTGAAACTATTATTTTAAAATATTTGGTCTGCATCCAAGTCAATGTATAACCGAGAACGACAGTTTCCATATGATGGTTCTGCAATAAAAGTCAGTGTACAAGTGAAAACATAAGATTTTGTATATTGAGTGTATTTAAAGTGAATATACAACCGATAACAACAGATTCCGTATGTTGGGTCTGCATTACAAGTCAATGCACAATTGAGAACAAAACGTTTCGAAGACCAACGTTTCATTATGTAAAACTATGACTCAACAATACAACATAAGCTGCCCTCAAACACTTTCATTTACACTGTAACAATAAATTGTATTTAAACTTAAACAAACCTGACACATTCATACATCCATTACCTTTAACTACACCAGATCTACGATCTGTCAGAGTAACGCATTTAGATGCATAACAATAGCTAAAGGCACTGTCAATAAATTACCAATTAACTAGGCAGGTACAAAAACTTTAAAAATAGCATACACTAATTGTACATTACCATAATTTACGATCAGGGGCCCAGTTGGGCAGTTCGTTCTTCTTATATGACTTTCCAACATTTTAAAGAGTATTCTCTGTAACGTATGGTAAAAGTATTTGTTTTTTTAGTAGTGGATGGATAAACAGAATTTTGTATAGTTTGAAGATTGTAATTTAATTTATTTGTCTTTTTTGTTGGTTGCTCTCAGACACGTGAAATACTCAGTGTTACACCCACTCACACTGTTCCGTCCAGAGAGAGGCGATTTATTATAATACTACCCAACAGAGTGCACAATTCCAGGTCTAATATTTACTAAAGTCACTGAAAACTCACGGGGTAAAAAGAAGAAACTGCAATTAAAGGCGTTTGTCAAGAGGAACAAAAAGGTGTCTTTCCTAAATGTTACCGTCACTCCAGAGTTTATCCGGATACCAGAGTGTTCCCTAAAGGTCAAAGCTCATTCGAGTTTACTTTTATTCTTTGTAGCAAGCACGTTTGGCTGCCAGCGTCAATTTACCTTTGTTGCAAGGTGTTAATTAAAGGGAAAATATTGTGTATGCTGTTTGCGGAAATTGCGGAGGCTAGATTGCGAGTGACTCGTAAAAAAGTATGTCGTGTCAGAACCATTTGAATGGCCGTTACATTCACACGTAAAGAACAAAAAACAATGTATTCCTCGCCAGAAATTTTAATTTTCCCGCTCTTGAAAACAAAAATGATACCATCAAACGGATTTGCAATTTTCCAAAGCTTTGTGATAAATTCCGCAACACTGTCGATGATAACAACTTTACATTGCTGGTAATGGACCCCACAAGAGCACAAAACATACTGAACCTTTTATTCACCGACACGTCCTCGATCCGAAATAAACAAAGTGGAAGCGAGTCCAGGTATGTCAGACCACAACTGTATCCCCAAAACCTCAGGCTAACTTCAGATACAACTATATAGGCGAGCTGACTGGGACAGCTTCTCAAAAAAACTGGAAACATATCTACAAGGGGTAACAGACATTGCAAGAGAAGGATGCGGTGTAAAACAACGGGGGAACAAATAAAAAAAAAAACAAGCAAGATATGCTGACAGACACATACCATCCAAAACCAGTAAAACGGGAATGTCCTGTCATTTAGATAGAGTACAGCAAAAATGAAAACAAACTACAGATTAAGAAAAAGAGCCTATTGGGACCCAAAGAAAACCATAAAGAGGGACACGTGAACGGCCTACTGGATCCATATCGAAAGGTTTATAAAACCCATGGCAAATAGCAACGAAATCAAAGGCACGAAGACATTCTGGTCATTCACATAATCTATGAAGAGAGAAAACAAAGGCAATACAATGTAGCGGAGTGTGCTTCATGGACCCGAAACGGAAAACCCAAGTTGTAAACCAGCAACTAGACAATTTAAACTAGAGAATACGATGTCAGCCCAAGTTACCATGGATAATATTATTATAACAGAGTCTGGAGTGAGAAATATATTGGAATCGTTAACAATCAAGAAGACGGCGAACGCAGACAAGAAGTGTCCGGGTACACTGAAGGAACTTGCCAGGTCGTTGATACTCACCATCATATCTTCGAAGTCATATGATTCAGGTTTTATCACAGATAATTGGAAGAGAGCAAATGTAGTACCCATATATCCGGTAGATAGGATGTCATGGTGTTGGGGGCAAAAATCATGCCTGGATTCAGCACTTTCTACGTAACAAAAGCCAGATTGAGGCACTGGAGAAATGTCTGATCAAGCGACGGTCATTTTCGGGGTCTCACATGGATCAGTTGTCCACCCGATGACACTCCTGTGCTTCATCAATGACGTTCTAGGCAGCTTTAGTTCGACTCTTTGTGAGTTTGCAGATGAAGTCATCATGTGCCCCCACTGTTACAAACAAGAGAAATGCGGGTTTACTCCAGGGCAATATTAGGAGTTTACAGGACTGGGGACAAAACTGGCAGATGGAATTCAACACAAGCAAGTACCAAGTCTTCTCCATCACAAGAAGCAGGATACCTGCACATCATTAGTACTGCCTGCATGGACAAGAACTGGAACATGTTGCGGAAACCAAGTACCTAGGCATTAACATGAAGTCAGACTTTCGGTGGAACGGCCACAATGACAAAACTACAGTGAAAGAAAATAACATCCTCGGCTTTCTAAAGAGGAATCTCCAAGTTATTTATCTAGGTCTAAAACAGGAGTCTGGAGCGGCCACAATGACAAAACTACAGTGAAAGCAAATAACATCCTCGGCTTTTTAAAGAGGAATCTCCAAGTTATTTATCTAGGTCTAAAACAGGAGTCTGGAGCGACCCTCGCTGGAGCACAGTAACAGTCTATGGAACCCATACACAGAAAAAAAGGAAAGACAATCTGAGATGGTGCATTGTCGTGCTGTAAGGTACCAACATGAATCATTACACCACCAGCGTGACAGACATCCTGACGGAACTGCGATGGACATCACTTCAGCTCCCACGAGGACATCACAGGATGGTGATCTACAGGAGAACCGATGGCCTAGTCGCAATGAACAAGGACAGGTACTTGACTCCACCTTCTCGGCGCAGCGACGGGACATCTACATTATGATTTACCTTATATCATCATCGTCAAATGTTTACCATTAGAACGCCTTCTTTGTGACATCCGTCACCCAGTGGAATATCATCCCAGACCACATTGAACACCGCCATCCTGAAACTCTTAGAGGAGCAGTAATATGCTTAAGTATACAGACTTAAGCTTTTAACCTTTAAACCTGAACGAATTACCATCTAAGAGACACCAGCAAGGTCATCAAAAGTTGATATCGACTGCTAGTCAGGAAAAAAAATACATTCATATATATATTACGTCAAAGCCGGATACAGACAGATTTTTTACATACATGCTTTTATATTTACATACAGTAAGAGGTACTTGTTTCACCTCATACAATTTAAGACAAATAGTTCGTGTGTAGGGTTGGACGTTAAGTTCATAGACTGGGCTCTACTGTCTCTGTCACTGGCAGTTTGAAACAATACAGGGATTGGTATGTTGTGTAAAAGTAACATCTAACATCGGTACGTAGTCCACCTGTATCTAGATTACGTAAGATTGTGCGACTCTTTCCTGTTGTCTGGTGTTTTTTTTGTCGTCGGGTTTCCTAAATAATGCTCCGTTTTGTGACAGTTAAGAATTGTTTTCAATTTATCACCGAGTCTGCATGGCTTGATACGTAATGTTATGTACTTAATGCTTTACCGGTGGTTTATGTTGAGATGGCGTGCTGGCAAATAAATATCACGATGAATAATTTGAATTTGAATATCTGATAGAATTATAAAGTTTGTTTATATCTTATTCCCACTTCCTCGGCTTACTCTGTTTAGTCCTGGTAAGTTTTATTCGTTTTGTTACTATTTTGAAACTAACTATTCACATTTGAAATATAACATTAGGTATTGATATATTGATATTTATAAAAAAAAACCTGTTTATAATATTATTCCGGAGGCAAAAGACAATATTTCAGTTTTATTACGAACACTTACTTACAGTCTAGTTTCTCGATGTTGCAGGTTCTGAAATATCTAGAGTTAAGTTTATCTCAATTCTTTTTCCTGTATTCTGTTTTTTTCTGGATTCTGGTTTGTTTAGGGTTGATTTCAATATTCCGGTTTTACCGAGAGTCTAATTTTGGATTATATGGTCATGATCAAGTGGTTAAAAGTTTTGTCAGCTTAACGAAAAATTCAACGCAAAATGAAAAATGAATGAAATCAGAAACTTTTATAATATGGCATGCTGTTGAAAAAAGTGATCATATTCAATAAAGATTATAAGTTTGTTTGTAACTTCAAATGATATATGAAACGATGTGGGTTTTGACAATAATGTTTTGACTAACTAGTCTGTTTGTCCGACCCATGAAGTGATCGGCCTTTTCTATTATCAATATTCCATTACGGTCGGAATGTGGGCAGAAGTGATTACCTGTCACTGAGGTTGGTCACAGGTAAATAATCTGCAGGTAAATACAGGTGTATCAGTGTGTGTTAGAGTGTGTATTAACGGTAGTTGGGCACACCTACATTTACCTGTGTGGATATATGAAGATGATACACACAACACCTGTATCCTATATGAATATTTGAAACAAAAAGTCCTGTAGCGTTATGGGATGCAGAACAATTCCCTGCCAGTTCGTTGTAATTTAGGTGATATATACCTTCCTTCAATGAAACATAAATTGAGAGAAACACGAGTTTTTGTGTCATGTAGGGACCTCGTTTCGCTCGAGTGAATAGTGACAACACTACAGGTACGTCTGTTTTGTACCGTGGAATGTGTCGCACAGGTAGGGTTCGCCAGGGGTCCTTATTGATTTCCGCCCGACTTTGTAGGATCAATAAAGTCGTATCACTGGGCTGCAGTCGTCTTTGCTTTGTTTGTAGATTAAAGGTCCAGTCTAACGTCTGCTGGCCAGACAGGTAGGGACATAAAACCTGGATATGGGCAGGGTCATGACGCGTCCCTCCCACATGACCCTCACTGGGTCAAACCGGAACCAGTAAGGTAGAAGCGTTTCAGGATACATCGTCTGCCATGTTTGTATTCCAACGAATTTCAACAATATTGAAACAGTGATATTTTTGTGTTTACATACCCTTCGGAGGCCTATGTTGGGACAGTGACAGCCAACTCGGGGCACTGGTGTACAGTAAGTGTCGACCGGACGGAGTTTTACAGTAACATCTGTGTTTATTAGTGTGAAAGATAAGGTTTTTAAAACCAAAAAAAAAACGGTTTCAACGACGTGAGGGAAAGAGAGCGTGACATTATACGTTGAGTAATCAGAGATGGGAACACGTTTGTGGTTATCACCGACAGTGAAAATACATGGATTTGTACACTTTTGGAGGTAGTGGACACTGACTACGACCATGTAGACTACATAGAGACTACACCATGTGGGACGACAGAAAATGTATATACGTCATTAGGTATACGGGTACCCGATGTAGATTTCGGACGTAAATATTGACTACTTGGTATGTGACAGTGTAGGCAAACTGATCAAAATGGCACCCAGATATATAAAGTTGCTCCTCCTCATTTCACAATTGATCTTGTTGGGGTACGGGGTCGGAGGTCATGAGCAGTGCCGGGCAAGCCCTTACGAGATAAATACGGGAGCCAACGCCATGTTCGCTGTGATCATGAGTACCCGACAGAGTAGTGGTTCCGGCGAGTGTGGGAGCATCTATAGCGGGGCCCTCCACACCATGTCAACAATACAGTGGGCAGTCAACAAGATCAACGCCGCAAAATACGTCCCTCTAATCCACCTCGGTAAGTTAACGTCATCCAAAATGGCAACGGCAGGAACAGTTTGCATGTGCCTTGTCCGCATTGATAAGTTCTCAATAACCATATTCAACATCGATAGGTATCTCGTAACATAGTAGTTAGTTAGGTACCTTTCATCGTCATTGATAAGTAAACAGAAGTACTTGATGAATATAATGTATTAAGTGTCAAATCAATCGAAAAACGATATTTGAACCCTCTAAGGACTGAAATTGAATTGTGAATTGTCAAAAAAGTGAATTGGAAATTCAATAGAATTTAGAGATAATGCTTAACAGTCGCTCTATAAGACTGAACATCAGGAAACATTTCTTTTCTATCCGAGTTATAGATGACTGGAATAGCGTGCCAGGAAGTGTTGTGAACACAGGCACATTGAATGGCTTTAAATTTACTTTGAACCATCATTGGAAGGATCTTGAAGCAAAGTTCAACCCAAGTTGCTGCTAAGTCACTCAGGAACTGTATATATATTGTTGAATGTTGAATACAGCAGGAACTTAAATCAAGAATAAATAAATCTCGAGTAAAGGAAATTAAGGAGCTCCGTAGAATCAAGGAGACAAAAATCAAGGAGGTCCAAAAGCTTATAGCTTAATACAGACCGGTGAACTGATATAACTGATGGAGTTTATTAGTGTAGCTCTATAATACAGATACTTAAATCCCGTCCCTTTTCTTTATGTAATATTACTTACGTTTATCAATGTAATAATTACTTACGTTTATCAATGTAATAATGACGAAATCTAATGGAGGATACTGATATAATGGTAAACACGATGAGGTGAACATGTTCATATTTTTTCCGACGACTTTTGGTGGACGATATTTCTCTCATTTTTGATAAAGGTGGTAACTATAGTTGCAGGGTTTTTATGTACTTATTAATGCAGTGGTCAGAAGTGGACTTTATATGTAGCGTCTTGTTAACTTGACCATTATCTTTGTATGGAGACAATTGATACACCCGATCATGACCTTTGTATGAAACCCATAGGTCTTTGTAGGTAACTTTCTTGATAACCCCGGAACATTGTCATTTGATGGAACCTCTAGGTACCCAATCTGTTTACTGAACCTCTAGGTACCCAATCTTTTTACTGAACCTCTTGATACACAATACCCTGGTCTATGCATTAAATCTTTTGGAACACCCGACACTGGTCTTCGTATATATAATCTTGTTACGAACGATCTTGATAAATGTACCCACACTCGGTCTTTGAATGGAACCTTTTGACAGAACTGTCGGCACGTTGATAATATTGTCACTGCTGGTCAGCGTTGACCATTTCGTTTTATCTGTGGATATGATATAATGGCGATGGAACTAATATAAAAACACTCCGAATTGATTTAAATCCGCACAAGTCGTTAACTATTAAACCCATCGATCTCGTTCAGATACGACAAGATAAATGGCCAACAACAACAGATAGTGTTCGGAGGGAGATAGTAGTACAACCGATAGTAATTCTGATTTATATTTAGCTAAGCATCTATCGATCTATTTAATCCTATAATCATCATGACTTAAAGCTAATCTATAACTCTGACCCACTAACTCTTCCGGAAAGATTAACATTTCGACTTACAAGAAAAGTTTACTTCAAAACAGGTGCTCTTTCGTTGCAGTTTTTATTCCACATCCTCTCATTATTACACCCTAAACCTCGTGAGAAACTTCATTATTTGACAGATGACCCGGTAACTGTTTACGTATGTATCCTTCAGTAGAGGTCGACTGCATTTAGTACACCCGACAAAGTATAGAGGACATTATACCCCCGACAAAGGTTAGAGGTCATTAAACGTTTAACAACCATTTCGAGAATTAATGACAGACACGTGAAAACATAGTTATTTATCAATCAAAACGACAGATCAAACAGTTCTTAAAAATTCTGCACGAACATAAATTATAAATGTTTTTCGGCCACACTATAATAAACCGTCACTTACTAAATTCCTTGTTGTGACTTTTAACAGACATGTTTTGAAGGTTAAAGTGGCCTTCGGTACGTATATACGGGTGGCTTCAGTGTGTGGCACGTCGACACGGTGTAGCTACCCACTGACACAAAACACCAGTGTATTTGATAAATGTAGACCTATTTAGATACGACACTGTCACTTCACTATGTAAACTGTTACTGCTAGCTCTTTATGAATTAGATGTATTATACCTACAAACCAAATATACACACACGCATCTCAATCAACACAGGCTATATTTAACGTGTCTTTATTAAGCCTGTAGCACGTCACACGTCCTCAAAATGTTGTAGGTTGATTGAACCTTATTGACATGAGGCATCTACTACCTTCCCACGTGTTGAGGTATTCCAGAGACGTATTCTATGTAGTGACTGACATGTATTCTAATTAGTAGAGCGAGGTAAATACCTACGTAACTACCTAACTCTGACATAACCAACAGCTTCTGATTATAGACGTAATGACTCAGAAGCGTATAAACCCAGGCTAGATAAATGACCATTGTAACAGCTGATCACGACGTATGATAAGGTTTACTGTCTGTGTTGTTAAAACGATCCTGAAGATTTCCTACTACGTTACAACATTCACGATTATGATGTTGTAATATAAACACTTTTACTTAATGTGTGTGGTTAATATTACGCCATCATTTACGTAATGAACACCAGAACTAACCACAAACATCACGTACACAGTGAACGCTAGAATGTGCCACAATTAGTTAATGAACACCAGAACTAACCACAAACATCACGTACACAGTGACCGCTAGAGTGAGGCACAATTAGTTAATGAACACCAGAGCTAACCACAAACATCACTTAGACAGTGAACGCTAGAGTGAGCCACAATTAGTTAATGAACACTAGAACTAGCCACAAACATCACGTACACAGTGAACGCTAGAGTGAGCCACGCTTAGTCAATGAACACCAGAACTAACCACAAACGTCACGTACACAGTGAACGTTAGATCGAGCCACAATTAGTTAATGATCACCAGAACTAACCATAAACATAACGTACACAGTGAACGCTAGAGTGAGTCATAATTAGCTAATGAACACCAGAACTAATCACAAACATCACGTACACAGTGAACGTTAGAGTGAGTCATAATTAGTTAATGAACACCAGAACTAATCACAAACATCACGTACACAGTGAACGGAGGGGTGAGCCACAATTAGTTAATGAACACCAGTAATATAAACACTTTTACTTAATGTGTGTGGGTAATATTACGCCATCATTTACGTAATGAACACCAGAACTAACCACAAACCTCACTTAGACAGTGAACGCTAGAGTAAGCCACAATTAGTTAATGAACACTAGAACTAGCCCCAAACATCACGTACACAGTGAACGCTAGAATGTGCCACAATTAGTTAATGAACACCAGAACGAACCACAAACATCACGTACACAGTGACCGCTCGAGTGAGGCACAATTAGTTAATGAACACCAGAGATAACCACAAACATCACGTACACAGTGACCGCTAGAGTGAGGCACACTTAGTTAATGAACACCAGAGCTAACCACACACATCACATACATAGTGAACGCTAGAGTGAGCCACAATTACTTAATGAACATCAGAGCTAACCACAAACATCACGTACATAGTGAACGCTTGAGTGAGTCACAATAAGTTAATGATCACCAGGACTAACCATAAACATAACGTAGACAGTGAACGCTAGAGTGAGCCACAATAAGTTAATGAACATCAGAACTCACCACAAACATCAGTGAGCCACAATTAGTTAATGAACCCCAGAACTAACCACAAACATCACGTACACAGTGAACGTTAGAGTGAGTCATAATTAGTTAATAAACACCAGAACTAATCACAAACATCACGTACACAGTGAACGTTAGAGTGAGTCATAATTAGTTAATGAACCCCAGAACTAACCACAACCCTCACTTAGACAGTGAACGCTAGAGTGAGGCACAATTAGTTAATGAACACCAGAACGAACCACAAACATCACGTACAAAGTGGACGCTAGAGTGAGCCACAATAAATTAATGAACACCAGAACTAACCACAACCCTCACTTAGACAGTGAACGCTAGAGTGACCCACAATTAGTTAATGAACACCAGAACGAACCACAAACATCACGTACACAGTGGACGCTAGAGTGAGCCACAATAAATTAATAAACCCTAGACCTAGCCACAAACATCACGTACACAGTGAACGTTAGAGTGAGTCATAATTAGTTAATGAACCCCAGAACTAACCACAACCCTCACTTAGACAGTGAACGCTAGAGTGACCCACAATTAGTTAATGAACACCAGAGCCAACCACAAACATCACTTACACAGTGAACGAAGGGGTGAGCCACAATAAGTAAATGAACACCAGAGCTAACCACAAACCTCACGTACACAGTGGACGCTAGAGTGAGCCACAATAAATTAATGAACACCAGAACTAACCACAAACCTCACTTAGACAGTGAACGCTAGAGTGACCCACAATTAGTTAATGAACACCAGAACGAACCACAAACATCACGTACACAGTGACCGCTAGAGTGAGGCACAATTAGTTAATGAACACCAGAGATAACCACAAACATCACGTACACAGTGAACGTTAGAGTGAGTCATAATTAGTTAATGAACCCCAGAACTAACCACAACCCTCACTTAGACAGTGAACGCTAGAGTGACCCACAATTAGTTAATGAACACCAGAGATAACCACAAACATCACGTACACAGTGAACGGAGGGGTGAGCCACAATAAGTAAATGAACACCAGAACTAACCACAAACCTCACTTAGACAGTGAACGCTAGAGTGAGGCACAATAAGTTAATGAACACCAGAACTAATCACAAACATCACGTACACAGTGAACACTAGAGTGAGCCACAATTAGTTAATGAACAGCAGAAGTAACCACAAACATCACTTACACAGTGAACGAAGGGGTGAGCCACAATAAGTAAATGAACACCAGAACTAACCACAAACGCCACGTACACAGTGAACGCTAGATCGAGCCACAATTAGTTAATGATCACCAGAACTAACCATAAACATCACGTACATAGTGAACGCTTGAGTGAGTCACAATAAGTTAATGATCACCAGAACTAACCATAAACATCACGTACATAGTGAACGCTAGAGTGAGTCATAATTAGTTAATGAACCCCAGAACTAACCACAACCCTCACTTAGACAGTGAACGCTAGAGTAAGCCACAATTAGTTAATGAACACTAGATCTAGCCACAAACATCACGTACACAGTGAACGCTAGAGAGAGGCACAATAAGTTAATGAACACCAGAACTAATCACAAACATCACGTACACAGTGAACGTTAGAGTGAGTCATAATTAGTTAATGAACACCAGAACTAATCAAAAACATCACTTAGACAGTGAACGCTAGAGTGACCCACAATTAGTTAATGAACACCAGAGATAACCACAAACATCACGTACACAGTGAACGCTAGAGTGAGGCACAATAAGTTAATGAACACCAGAACTAATCACAAACATCACGTACACAGTGAACGCTTGAGTGAGTCACAATAAGTTAATGAACATCAGAACTAACCACAAACATATCGTAGACAGTGAACGCTAGAGTGAGTCATACTTAGTTAATGAACACCAGAACTAACCACAAACATCACGTACACAGTGAACGCTTGAGTGAGTCACAATAAGTTAATGAACATCAGAACTAACCACAAACATCACGTACACAGTGAACGCTAGAGTGAGGCACAATAAGTTAATGAACACCAGAACTAATCACAAACATCACGTACACAGTGAACGCTAGAGTGAGGCACAATTAGTTAATGAACACCAGAACTAACCACGAACATTACTTATACAGTGAACGCTAGAGTGAGCCACAATTAGTTAATGAACACTAGACGAAACTAATTATGGTTTTCTCATATTAGTTCAAGTTCACGACCAAGTTCATTTTCTCCTCAAAAAAGTACACAATTGTTTAAAATATACAACTTGTGATTATGTCATGCTACATGTAAATATTATGAATAATCGGAGCGAACTTATCATCATTTTCCTAGTAAAGGCCGAGCGAACCATATTCCTTATTTAGATATGTAGTGACACCAGGAATAACCACAATTACCACTTGCATAGTGAACAGTGGAGCGAACCATTTAACCATTGTGTCAATAAACAGTGAATCACTCATCACTTCCCTGAGAAATACCAGGACGAGTTACTGTAAACATGCTCTTAGTATCCATTTGCATAATAATTGGTTCTTTTTATTCTGAACATTTTTTCTCTCTCACTGAGATTAAATACCCGAAGTCTCAAATATGTCTCTTGTTTTTATGTCGTTCAACTTGACGACAATATCTCAAAATACTCGATATCTTTCCAGGGTTTGACATGTACGACGACTGTGGGATAGAGCGGTACAGTGCGTTTGGAGCCTTGGACGCCGTCAGCACCAAGTTTCCTAAGGATATCCGCGAATGTTACGGCGACGGGGCCTACGAACTGTTTCTCGGTAGGTTGTTGCCGTATAAGACGTGTTCAATCGTATATTTATCCTGTGATCATTCGTTATAGTAATAACTGACTAGTAAATTCTGATGTGACGTCGATGCAGCTGTATTTGCTGTAGCCATTTGCTGTGGTCTTTTGCGTGTCGTTATTTTATTTCAGTGTGTTATATTTCAGTACAAGGCGGTTTCTGTGTAGTCCTTTGCTTGACCAGTGTTATATTTCAGTACAAGGCGGTTTCTGTGTAGTCCTTTGCTTGACAAGTGTTATATATCAGTACAAGGCGGTTTCTGTGTAGTCCTTTGCTTGACAAGTGTTATATATCAGTACAAGGCGGTTTCTGTGTAGTCCTTTGCTTGACCAGTGGTATATTTCAGTACAAGGCGGTTTCTGTGTAGTCCTTTGCTTGACAAGTGTTATATATCAGTACAAGGCGGTTTCTGTGTAGTCATTTGCCTGACAATTGTTATATTTCAGTACAAGGCGGTTTCTGTGTAGTCCTTTGCTTGCCCGGTGATATATTTCAGTATAAGGCGGTTTCTGTGTAGTCATTTGCCTGACAAGTGTTATATTTCAGTACAAGGCGGTTTCTGTGTAGTCCTTTGCTTGACAAGTGTTATATTTCAGTACAAGGCGGTTTCTGTGTAGTCCTTTGCTTGACAAGTGTTATATTTCAGTACAAGGCGGTTTCTGTGTAGTCCTTTGCTTGACAAGTGTTATATTTCAGTACAAGGCGGTTTCTGTGTAGTCCTTTGCTTGACAAGTGTTATATTTCAGTACAAGGCGGTTTCTGTGTAGTCCTTTGCTTGACAAGTGTTATATTTCGGTATAAGGCGGTTTCTGTGTAGTCCTTTACCTGACAAGTGTTATATTTCAGTGTAAGGCGATTCATGTATAGTCCTTTGCTTGCACAGTGTTATATTTCAGTGTAAGGCGATTCATGTATAGTCCTTTGCTTGCCCAGTGTTATATTTCACTATAAGGCGGTTTCTGTGTAGTTCTTTACCTGACAAGTGTTATATTTCAGTGTAAGGCGATTCATGTATAGTATTTTGCTTGCCCGATGTTATATTTCGGTATAAGGCTGTTTCTGTGTAGTCCTTTGCTTGCACAGTGTTATATTTCGGTATAAGGCGGTTTCTGTGTAGTCCTTTACCTGACCAGTGTTATATTTCAGTGTAAGGCGATTCATGTATAGTCCTTTGCTTGCCCAGTGTTATATTTCACTATAAGGCGGTTTCTGTGTAGTTCTTTACCTGACAAGTGTTATATTTCAGTGTAAGGCGATTCATGTATAGTATTTTGCTTGCCCGATGTTATATTTCGGTATAAGGCGGTTTCTGTGTAGTCCTTTGCTTGCACAGTGTTATATTTCGGTATAAGGCGGTTTCTGTGTAGTCCTTTACCTGACAAGTGTTATATTTCAGTGTAAGGCGATTCATGTATAGTCCTTTGCTTGCACAGTGTTATATTTCAGTGTAAGGCGATTCATGTATAGTAGTTAGCTTGCCCGATGTTATATTTCGGTATATGGCTGTTTCTGTGTAGTCCTTTGCTTGACCAGTGGTATATTTCAGTACAAGGCGGTTTATGTGTAGTCCTTTGCTTGACCAGTGGTATATTTCAGTACAAGGCGGTTTATGTGTAGTCCTTTGCTTGACCAGTGGTATATTTCAGTACAAGGCGGTTTCTGTGTAGTCCTTTACCTGACAAGTGTTATATTTCAGCGTAAGGCGATTCATGTATAGTAGTTAGCTTGCCCGATGTTATATTTCAGTATAAGGCCGTTTCTGTGTAGTCCTTTGCTTGGACAGTGTTATATTTCGGTATAAGGCGGTTTCTGTGTAGTCCTTTGCTTGCACAGTGTTATATTTCGGTATAAGGCGGTTTCTGTGTAGTCCTTTACCTGACAAGTGTTATATTTCAGTGTAAGGCGATTCATGTATAGTCCTTTGCTTGCACAGTGTTATATTTCGGCATAATGCGGTTTCTGTGTAGTCCTTTACCTGACAAGTGTTATATTTCACTGTAAGGCGATTCATGTATAGTAGTTTGCTTGCCCGATGTTATATTTCAGTATAAGGCCATTTCTGTGTAGTCCTTTGCTTGGACAGTGTTATATTTCGGTATAAGGCGGTTTCTGTGTAGTTCTTTGCTTGCACAGTGTTATATTTCGGCATAAGGCGGTTTCTGTGTAGTCCTTTACCTGACAAGTGTTATATTTCAGTGTAAGGCGATTCATGTATAGTAGTTTGCTTGCCCGATGTTATATTTCAGTATAAGGCCGTTTCTGTGTAGTCCTTTGCTTGGACAGTGTTATATTTCGGTATAAAGCGGTTCATGTATAGTCCTTTGCTTGCACAGTGTTATATTTCGGTATAAGGTGATTCATGTATAGTATTTTGCTTGCCCGATGTTATATTTCGGTATAAGGCGGTTTCTGTGTAGTTCTTTGCTTGCGCTGTGTTATATTTCGGTATAAGGTGATTTCGTTGTAGTTCTGTGCTTGTCTAGTGTGACATTTTTGTATAACGTTGATTGTTAATAGGTCTACCTCTGTCCAACAGTGTGCTGTTTGCAGTTCTATGTTAAATTATAAGATTTTCCAGGTGTTGTATGTTGTTTTAACGCTAATTCTTTGTAGCAACAAAAGGCTAATCTAAAGTAATATTTGAGGGAGATCGCATCTAGCATTGTACGGCGTGTCAAAGTACACGTCACAGTGGTCTTTCGTCTCTGAAGAACTTATTATGCCTGTTTTATATGAAGGTTGTGTCGAAGACGAAGAAAAATTAGAGTACGTGTAACGGGCCAGATTGATATATATTACGGCCATTCCTAAATCATTCAAATCCGTGTATAAAATATCTTATTAAGCGCACGAGTAAGGATCATATTGTATAATTTTGCTGTAATACAAGGCCAAGACCATTGTTATTAAATCTGATCAGAGATGTGTGGGAAAAGCTGTCATGGGGATGCTACCTTCTAGTAGTAAAAGGCGAAGAAGATCTGATTATATCTGTTAGAATGTTATATTTTCAGTTATCGTGACATTAATATTACCCCATAAATTAGTGTAGGATGACGTGGTAAGTAAATAGAAAATAGTTTAAATGGCTTTCCTTCAAAGTTCAAAGAATGTACATGATAACCATCTCACTGCCTGAGCTATTATAACCGAGGTTTACACATCTATGAACACGATGTTACCGTAGATAATGTGTATTTTGATGTGTGATGTCATTGTTAACAAGATATAGTAGATGTATCTAATAAATATATTCGGTACCAACCTAAACATGATTTTTTTCATTTTGAATACAACATCTTTAATGATATATTGTTTGTTACAACTGCAGATATATAGTTGTTTTACGTTTTATATATATGTGTCCTGTCGAACCACATCCAAAGTGATATACAGTTGTTTTACGTTTTATATATGTGTCCTGTCGAACCACATCCCACGTGATATACAGTTGTTTTACGTTTTATATATATGTGTCCTGTGGAACCACATCCAACGTGATATACAAATCTGTTCACGTTAATGCTGCAGGAGTACTGGGAACCTCTCGGAGCCAGACCACGTCCAACGTGCTGAACATGCTGGGAAGTAACATTCCTGTGATCAGTCCGTTCGCAACCCTCCCAGAATTGGCTAACTTTCCGAACTTCCTCCGTACTACTCCGGCGGACAACGACCAGGTCCAGGTAAGGTGAAACATTTATAAAATCTGAAGAAAAGTAGCTCAAAGTAGACCATATTTAAGACTGTAAAAATTTGAATGTTTTCAAGGAAACACATCGTATTCGACTAAAATTGTGTGTACAACAGAGGACATTAGGAAACACGGAATACATTCAAATCTTTTATGAATCCTGTTTTATTATTATGGCCTTATTTTTGTAAATTTATTGATAGATCAATGGCTCTTCTAGATACATAATGTACACCTACCAGAAAACGTCCTTATTTCTTGTTCATCGCGTGTTGGGACTTGACCTAGGGTCACATGATGGCGGAAGCTTGCATTGAATTCATCATGAAATCCTGTACAAGATATTAATTTTCCGGTTACGTATTGAATATGATAACTGGGTAATGGAGTAGAGTCTAAGCTAAACTCAATAACAAAAGAATTAAAATGTATCCATGTCAAATACAAAGACACCAGATGGTCTAGTATCGTTTACAACTTATATGAAGGATGTTATTGTAAATGTAGCATTGATTGATGATCTGTTCAGAAATACCAGGGCCACTGCCGAGGTATATATATATACTCCGTGGTAATCCATGGTAAAGAAATGTGTAGTTCTAAACACGCCTAACTCCGTTGTAGGGACCCTAGCACGTTTTGTTTCTAGCAACATCATATATAGGATGTAGATTTAAAATAAATGTGCACACAGCATCCTTAAACAGTCAATTAATATTGTTGGCGAAACTAGCCTGTTATTTTGGTTGATTAAGAGGCGTATGTTACATACAACAGCAACAACAGGTCATTTCCGAAGTTTGTTCTGGAAACGAGTTCTGACAAGAAATTGCAACATTTCTTTAATTACCTCGTCCGAACTGGGGTCGTCATAGCAAATACCTTGATGTACTTTTGGTTTTGCTGAACTTCTTTCTAACAATCAGGGTCATTTAAGGACGTGCCTCGATGTGTGTAATGTATGCCGGTGTGTGTTTGTATGTGTGCTCGAGGCATGGTACGTTGGTGTATCTGCCTCAATGCGATAGCGCGGATCTGATGCCGATTTTATAGTGTACCTCACTAAAATACCATACGAAAGGCACCCAGCACAGTATTCCACCAGTTCACATTATACTGACAACTGTTAAACCAGTTGTTGCGATAAGCCTAAATGAAATAACAACTACCATTTTTAGGACTTTGGTATGTCCCGGCCTTGGGATAGAATCTATTGCTTAACCCACTTGGCCGAACGCTCAACACATTGGCCAAAAGTGATGTTCGTTCTGTCTAGAATGTATTGAGCGTCATCAAAAGTAGCGTCGACGTTTTGTATTGAACATAGTACTAGTGGTCTGACGACATCAACTCTAGACCTGAATGATGTGTTAAACAATTCACCTGTTTTACCGTTATATACCTACCTTAGCCTAAGCTACTATGCGTAAACATTTTACTAAAAATATATTGTAAAGGTTATATTTGATTGCAATCTGTGTCAAAGCTTAATCACTAACAATGAAAACTGTGTCTTAGTAACAATACTTTTAACACCGAAATAATGTATATTTCCTATAACAATGACTGCGATTTTGTTTAACACTTCCTGGACCTCAAACCTGGTGCCCTGATAGTTCTGGGTCCTTACTAAATAATAATATCGAAGGATCATACCCTAGTACATTTCTGGTCTGTGTAGAACCTTCATGGTCTCGCTCCCTCTGACCAAACAGGCATGTCTCGATAACAATAACTGAGGAATATATATGTCTGTCTCCCCCCAGGTGGTCATACAGTTACTGAAAGATTTGAACTGGACGTACATCGCGGCCCTCTACACCAACGACAACTACGGTTCGAGTGGTATGGAGAAGATCCTACAGCTGGCTCGAGAGAACGGGATATGTGTGGACGTTGTCCAGGCCATTAACTCTACCGAGAACTTCGCCAACATCGCAACACTCGAGAACTTCTTAAATATCCTCATCCACCAGAAAAAACAGACAAAGAATAAAACGCTGGGAATCGTGTACTTTGGTCAGAAGAACGTCATTGAAAGATTGCTTATACGTCTGAATCAGTTACTTACTATAGAGTACAGAGGTTTTCATTGGATAATGTCCGACTTTGTAGGCACGAGCGTTGAGGTATTCAATGACGCGGATGACGTGTCTGATGGCACTATCACGGTATCTACGTCATCAGTGATGATACAAGAGGCACAACAATTCTTTGAGGACAAGTGGAATGCAGCTTTAACTACTACCAACCTATCGTCCCCGCTAGATAAACTAATAGCGGAGTACAGGACGGAGAATCCTACCGCTGGGATAGACTGGAGGAATGACTTCATTATGCCAATAGTGGACGCTGTGTATGTTATAGCCACGGCACTCAAACAAGCGCTCTTCAAAAAATGTCGAAACTATACGATTATTTGTGACGGCTTTGAAGATTACTTAGACAACGAATTTCTGAATATTATGAAGAATACTACTGTTGATTATGGTCTGTTAAACTATACTGCCGGGCCGAAGGAACTAGTTGATCTAGGACGGCAGGTTCGGTTCGACCCCCACGGTAACATCCTTCCGGACAGGTCCAGCCCGCTATATGATATTAATATGTATAATGTAACAAGGAAGTCCTTCGTCAAGGTGAGTTGTTGAATATAATGTAACAAAAAACGTTGATAAAGCTAGAGAAATATTAACGATCATGGTTAACCCTGCATTAGTCTGGTGGTAGGACCACGTGCTATTAGAATTCGTACAGACCGTTCATCGGCCAGTTGCGAACTCTACTAGGCACTTATAAATGGGTAGTACATTTGTATTTATCAGTTAACTTTCCCTATTTTGGCGGTAGGATAAGATGATAAGCCTAATTGGTTGGTAACATCCGATGAAAGCTATCTATCATTTTGTATGAAAATTTGTCTGGACGAATATGGCAGAAATGTAATAGGTATTTGATTATGTTATGTCACAATTAAAACCCACCTGTCTCTATGTAGCTTCTTTCACTGTTGACCAATGCGATATTAATGCCACTTCCTTCGAATAAAAAGCATACTTATTTATGAGAAACAGCAAGGTAAGTCAAAAGTGTCAACAGAACCTGTATTCAAACTCGAAATCGATCAAACTAGGACACAATAGAACAACACAAACATTTACACGGAGATCTTTAAAAAATTAAGGACAAAAAAAACAGATACAAAAATAAGACATGAGTTAACAGCTTTCCCGATATCAAAACTTAAATTGTAACATATCTTGCTGACATCCGTGTTTCATGTTTATCTTTTCCTCATCCTAGGTGGGAACTTACAAAAACACTACGCTGTCTCTGAACTCCTCCCTCCTTGCCAGTCACCAGCAGCTGTCGTCCTGTGCTAGTAACTGCTCCAACTGTACCGTCCTCCCTCCCATTCCCTATAAATATGTTGATGGGGATGTTTTATTGATGGGCATGTTTTCTATCCATGATCCCAAAGACGAAGAACACGCATTTGCATGTGGAAAATTTCGAAACTACACATTAGATGTTATAGGACAGGAATCATTTTTTCATGCGATATACCGCCTTCGGAACCTCACTAAGATACAGTTTGGGGGTATATCCTTTGATGATTGCTACAGTTCGACCGTGGGCAGTCTGACAGTCACTCAGTTCCTCTCCGGTACCACTAAACTACCTTTTGGTTCCACTGGTCAAACCATCGATCCCACAAAGGTGTTGGGAGTTATCGGCCCTTACCCGAGCGGCGTCACTGTTCCGTTGACCTTACTCTTCTCTCGTCTAAAGCTTCCGTCGGTATCCTACGCTTCTTCATCTCCTGATCTTGATGACGTCATCAACTATCCCTACTTCTTGAGGACCGTTCCGAGCGATGTCACACAAGTGGAAGCCATGGTTAAAATCATAGAACATATGGGGTGGAAACGGGTAGGTATGTTATACGTAAACAATAACTATGGGAGCAAAGGAAAGGCATTGTTTATGGATAAGGCAGCTTCCAGTGGGATATGTGTGACCACTCCCATAGAAATGTCAGAAACTGGAAACCAGAACGAACTCTACCAAATATCTTTAGATATAAAAAGTAAAGGAGAAGAAGTCATAGTGTATTTCGGAACGGAAGCTAGAATTGTCGATTTGTTGACTGAAATGAAAAGAAGGGTGGAACAGAACTCTTTTCGGTATGATTTCGTGTTCTTGGCCAGTGAGGATTGGGGGGACAGTAACAACATTGGGTCTAAACTTGGAAGTGTGGCTAAAGGTGCAATCACCTTTAAGTTCGAAATAAAATCTGCCGATGTCGGATTCGAAGACTATCTTAGAAATAGGAAACCAGTGTTGGAACCCACCAATAGATGGTATCGAGAATATTGGAGGGAATATTTTAATTGTGACCCGGAGGGAGACTTTGATAAGCGGATAGGGAAGACCTGCAGCAAAGACTTACAGTTCTCTCAACAGGACTTGTCCAACTTCGTGGACGATCAGCGGGTAATTCACACTATGAATGCAGTTTACGCCCTGGGACTAGGACTGAACGAAGTCAAGGACTTATGTCCGCCGGACAACCTCCATGGGTGTCAATACCTAAAGGAACAGCCAGAGGATGTGGTCAAACATATCCTCAACATCGAGCTGCAGTCCGGCAGTGAAAGCTTCCCCATCTTCGACGAGAAAGGCAACGGGAACTTGGGGTTTACCATTCTGAATCTCCAGGTGGCCGGCCAGGATACTTATGACTACTTAGAGGTGAGGAATGGGGGGAATTTAATAATTCATAAAATATATAAATGTATGTGCTCTCATTTTGCCAAAAAAAGGTTATTTGTCTGGGCTATTAAGAGAGATAACCTATGTGACCTAACAACACTGCAACACTTACCCTGCCAGAGTAAATCATTATAATTTTGTCTTCATCTTCTTTTATTTATCAACATCTGTGTTATTGCTGTAGTATATTTTCTGTTCTAATTCACTTTGTATTATTTTTCTTTAAACTGATATTGTAACTAAGATATTTTTATTTTCATTTACAGGTTGGCACCTACAAAGCTGGGAGATTGGATCTATCGAAGAACCTGTTGAAATTTTACAACCATAACGGTTCCGGAAGGGAGATAACTGCTCCGTGTGGCTCATCTTGCGAGTGTTTCGTCACCACCACATTTACCACAACAGAGGCGACGACACAGGGGCCAACTGTTACATCTACAGCTGAATACCAAACGTCAACTATCGTCATAATCGCTGTCGTGTCTTCGTCGTGTCTTCTCCTCCTCCTCCTCCTCCTCATCGTCGTCGTATGTTTCTGTAAACTTCGACGAGGTATGTAAAAGGTGATATTCATGGAAAGTCTGTGTGCTCATTCAAGGTCATTACAGCAACTTTGATATTGAGGAAAATTTTCATTTTTTTAAAAAATCGAATTGAAAAGTAAAGAATAAATAAAATTAAGCTGTCTCATGTTTCTGAGGCCCAGAATAAATATTTTTCAGTTTTAATATTTATGAGATAAAAAGTTGATTGTGCTAAAACTACAACATGGCTTTATTGTGCCTTTTCTTGGTTTGTCAGAATATGATGGTCCAAATGCATCAAAACCTCTCAAGCGGTATTACAACACACCGAGTGAGCCCTCGGGAGGAGGTATCAGCCAGGTCAGTAAGCCGCCCTCCGACATACAGTTCATCAACCCACAGGGCATGAGCAGTGACATCAAGTATATGGGACCGGTGTCAACCTATGACGGCGAACAGAAGGGCGGTATAGCTAATGGACCAAAGGGCCAAGTGAACAGAGCTTTCTCCGACCCCTATTTACACCCGGCCATAGGGTCTAACAGTAGTGAACAAATGTATAGACAACAGACACCGATGTCTGAGGGCTACGACCAGGGTCGAAATGACTACAGGAGGAACGAATCTCCAGTAAGGTGTAGGAACAGGGAACCTGTCACCAATTCGTCTCCCATGAGCGAATCCAATACCAGTAACTATCGTCCGGATTTACCACCCAGGGAAGAGGGTATTCCGAATCTCAAACAATATCAGTTACCTAATGGCTACCCTCGAATGGGGACAAGTCATGTGATAAACGGTTCCCCTCCCGTCGGGAATTCCCCTACGGATTCCGATCACGCGCTTCTTAACCTTTTAGCAGGCAATAACAATGTGACCCCTACTGACGACTCGCCAGTATTCAGTATGTCAGATCAGGGATCTCCATTTGGAGAAATGCATGAACGCGACCGGAAGGCACAATTCGCGTCGCTTAAGAAAAAACAAAAACGCTTATATAACCAGACTGCCATGGAGGCGACACAGTCTGTGGAGAAGATATCTCGAGTGTAGCACGACACGACAACGGGGGTGTACAGTATAGCATACTACATATATACAACACAACAGTGAAGGAGTGTGTGAAAGTCAATACTATACCTGTTAGTTGTGTAAACCAGAGTTCATACTGTAACATGATAAACAGGATCCATTTGAGACCTCACGTCCGGTCTTGCTATGGGGGAGTGTATCGAATACATAAATCACAATGTTATGTCATCCCATGAAATTTCGGCAAGCGTCATAATTCGATAAAGTTATCTAACGTTCAATTTGTCACCTTTATCGTCTACACATTAGACGTTGTGATGTTAATCAACGTTAACACTCATTCTATTTTGTCTAGTTCAATAGTAGGATGAACATTATATCACATGATCACATGATCACATGTTCTATTTTTATCACATACTCGTCTTCCAAACTTTAGCAACTGCCTTTGTGTATCCTTCTTAATGAATGGTCAATTCTTAGTCCGTCAATGTACATGTTATAGGTCAGTTTAACACCGTTGATAGCAAAGGGAGATAACTATGAGCGTCAGTGAAATGCTGATTTTGTTCGTGGAGTTAAGGTGAAAAGCTGCACTTCACCCTTCGTTTGATCCACAAATGGTGTATTAAAAATGGACTTGGGATAATATAAAGGGTAAACAAAAGACAAGCAGGCCGTTTTTCATATATCTTATTACCACTGGTGTCAAGTAGTAACAAATAGATGATATATGCTACGTCTACATAGATATCACGTTGTTAAGGTCACATATATATATATAAATAATGACATTTAGATTTGCAATTTTTAGGTCACCTGAGACAAAGTCTCAAGTGACCTATTGCGATCGCCTTTTGTCCGTCGTCGTCCGTCGTCCGTCGTCCGTCGTGCGTCCGTAAACAATTTACATTTTCGACTTCTTCTCCAAAACCCCTGAACCAATTTCAATGAAATTTTGCAGGGACCTTCCATGGACAAAGGTCAACAAAAATAGT